GCGTGTGGCGCTTCTCCCGGCGCTTCTTCCGGCGGTTCTCCCGGCGGTTCTCCCGGCGGTTCTCCCGGCGGTTCTCCCGGCGGTTCTCCCGGCGCTTCTCTCGTTGGTTCTTTCATTTTCGTCGCTTCCATTTCTGCCGCCGTCGCTTTCCAGTTTTGAGCTTCTCTCCGCCGTGGTACCATGATGCCGTTGCTTCGCCATGTGCTTCAGGTGTCAGAAGCAGATGGCGAACAGCAGATGGCGCACGGAGAATGACGCACGGCGCTTGCCGACGTATGACGCGCGTTGCTTCCCGGCGCATCTCCCGGCGGTTCTCCCGGCGCTTCTCCCGGCGCTTCTTCCGGCGGTTCTACCGGCGCTTCTCCCGGCGCTTCTCCCGGCACTTCTCTCGCTGGTTCTCCACGTTTTCGTAGCTTCCATTTCTCGTCGTCGCTTTCCAGTTTTGATGCCGTTGCTTCGCCCTGTGCGCAGTTTTAGAAGCTTTCAAGGAAGAACCGGCGGGGTTGTGGGAGCGAGGGGGGCAGGGGGTGGCGGAGAGGGTGGTGAAGGGCCCCCGCCTGGATACCCTCTTCCGCCGTCCCCTCTCGCTTCCCACTGTTGGAAGGAAACGGTGGTGGGGCGGTGGTATGCCCCCAACCCACCGAGGGCACTTCGGTGCCTTCGATCCCTTTGACTAGGGATCGGTGGGGTGGCACCGATTGACTTCGGGAGACTCACCCTTCGGTGCCACGTGGCGGCACCACATTCCAACCTTCAAGTGCAAGGCGAATTCGGTGTGTTCGGTGTGAAATTCGGTGGTCGAATTTCACCCCAACCGAAATGTTACACGCGGCGCATTCGCGACGCGAGTGTAGCGATGTGATGTTACATGTGCGGTTCGATGTAATGCATTTGCTATAAATCGACCTGCCTTGTATGCATGCTTTATACTGAAATCCTGAATCTTCTTGTACATGGTCCATTCGAACCAAAATTCCAGAGAGGTCTATCCTTGCTTCTAAGAGCACTAGCAATCACGTGAACGCCAATATCTCGGCGTATACTTGGGCGATTAACGTGTTTGACGGCTTGTTGGAAAGCCAAGACTGTGCTCTATTGTTTAGTGCAACTTAGAGTTCCTGCAAAGTAGAGGAGACGCCTCTACAACACCCACTACACCCGTCCGGCGACAACGAGCAACGAGCAACGCCGACAGCGAGTTGAAAGGGAGTATCTCCCTTATTTGGTAAGTGCCGTCAATTCTGTTTCGTTCCTTTGTTTTCAAGAAACTAACGTTCTTCCTATTGCGTTTTGTCCTTAAGTGATGTGCCGCAGGAGCGCGAGAAGGGAGACGGAGCACGCGTTGGCGCGGCGTATGGCGCGCAGCATGGCGCGACGGCGCGGCGTTTCGGCGGGAATCGCGGGCGTATGACGCGTTGGCGCGGTGCGGCGTACGGCGCACGGCGGATCAGAGGCGACTACTATGTTGGTGATACACTCCTCCTCCTTCTCCTTCGTGTTTGTCATCTTTTTTCGTCGTTTTTTTCGTCTTTTTTCCGTCGTTTTTTTCGTTTTTTTCCGTCGTTTTTTCGCTGCCTGTGCGTTTCTCTCTGCCGTGGTACCGTGATGCCGTTGCTTCGCCATGTGAGCAGTTTCCAACACGGCAGGAGTGGAAGCCCATGGCGTCGGCGGGTCTCGCGGGCGTTTGGCGCGTTTCACGGGTGTATGGCGCGACGGCGCGGCGTTTCGGCGGGAATCGCGGGCGTATGACGCGTTGGCGCGGTGCGGCGTACGGCGCACGGCGGATCAGAGGCGACTAACTATGTTGGTGATAGACTCCTCCTCCTTCTCCTTCGTGTTTTTCATCGTTTTTTCGTCGTTTTTTTTTCGTTTTTTTACGTCGTTTTTTCGTTGCTTGTGTGTTTTTCTCTGCCGTGGTACCGTGATGCCGTTGCTTCGCCATGTGAGCAGTTTCCAACACGGCAGGAGTGGAAGCCCATGGCGCCGGCGGGTCTCGCGGGCGTTTGGCGCGTCTCACGGTCCATGGCGCGGCGGCGACGCGTGTGGCGGGAATCGCATGGTCTTTCGTCGTTATTTCGTCGTTTATTTTTTGTATCTTTCTCGTTGGTTGTGCGTATCTCTACCGTGGTACCGTGATGCCGTTGCTTTGCCATGTGCGCAGTTTCCTAGATACGATCCGCGTTTGGCGGGAATCGTGGGTGTATGGCGCGTCGGCGGGGCGTCTGGCGGGTACCGCGGGCGTACGGCGCGACGGCACCGCAGATGGCGCGTTGGCAGGTCTCGCGGCGCACGGGATCAGAGACGACTATGTTGGTGATATTCCCTCCTTGTCCTTCGTGTTTCAGTATTTCGTTCTTTTTTCGCGCTTTTTTTTTCCTGTTGGTTGTGGCGTTTGTCTCTGCCTTGGTACCGTGATGCCGTTGCTTCGCCCTGTGCTTCAGCTGTCAGAGGCTTTCAAGGAAGAACCGGCGGGGATGTGGGAGCGAGGGGGGCAGGGGGTGGCGGAGAGGGTGGTGAAGGGCAGCCCCCGCCTGGATACCCTCTTCCGCCGCCCCCTCTCGCTTCCCACTGACCCTTCCGGCGTCAACGTCAACGTCTACGCCGACGTCAACGTCATCAGCAGCCTGGTCCTGGTAATGGTGTCGTCGCTTTTACTCCTCGTTTTTGTTCCCCGAAATATCTAACGTTTTTTTTTGTCGTCTGTGGTGCAGAGAGGCTGGAGCGAGCGTGGTGGCGAAATGACGCGCACTGGCGAAAGTCTTGTTTCTCTTAATTTCATCAATCCAAATTATCGTGACCTCGCCACGTCGACTTTTCTCTGAATTCGATGGACGGCGTTTGCGCTCGCCCTTTCCGCGCGATTCTCCCGACCTTTCTTTCCAACTTTCGGGCAACCGTTGGGAATTTGCGTGGATCGCAAACAGTCACGATTGCATTGTTTTACGGTACCTTCAAAATATCGTTACGCGCGGCGATATTTTGAATATACCGTAAAACAAAGTCCATCGAATTCAGAAAAACGCCGTCGTGGAGAGATCGCGCTAATTTGAGTTGATAGAATTAAGATAACCGAAATTTCCGCCAATGCGCGTCATTTCGCCGGGCCACTTTCCTCCTCGACTCCCTCCCGCTGGTCAACCTGGCAACGTCTGACAACCGAGGAGCTTCTGGTTGAGTTCATTCTTTTCAATCTGCCCGTAAACTTAACCGTCTCCTCCCTTTTTATAATTTTATCTGTCTCCCCCCCTCCCAAACAGATCCCGCACGAATGACCCTCACCTCAACGTGGTGTGCGGGTGTAACGCTAGGCATTTGCCTCTAGCGGCCAAGAGGGGTCAAGAAGACAGGCGAGCAGCTTTGGATCTGAAGAACTTCCAAGTCGTTTCAAGCATCCGAAGGGTGAGCAGCTGAGGATCTGAAGCTGCTGGCGTTCGTACTTGTACAAGTTCGCGGTTGACTACTTTTAAACCTTCTTAGAGCGTGTTCCTAGCAACGCCTTTAGCGCATCAGCTAGGACTTGTAAATCTGCATTCAAGTATAGTTTTTCGATGACTTCGCGTTTTAACTTTGGCTTGTACTTTATAGCTACAAGTTTCTGGCTGGCGACGAAAACTACTCTTCTCAATTACTGCAGCTAAGATAACAAACCCTAATGGCGCGAAGTCCAGCAACGCCATTCACTGAACAGCCAAACAATCCTCTTCTTCGCCGTGGACTGATATTATTGTTTACTTGCAGCTTCGATGTACTTGTGCTTATCATTCGTGCACTCCTTCCTGACGAATTACCGCAGCACCTTAGTCTCCTCGCCGACGATGATGGAGCCGGCACGCGCGGCGTGATCCGCGCTAGCTCGCTGCGGGTTAACACGCCGATTTGTGAGTAGCCGAGAGTATCCCGATTTCGCGTTCTCTGAGCTGTCGTTTGTATGATAGGAGGGAAGAGGAGCCGACAGCAGACCGTAAGTATAAGCAGATCGTAAGTACGAGCAAGGTTGAAAGGATTGAAGCATAAAAATGAGCGGTCCGACTTCACAATCACGCCGTAGTCGCTGGTATGACAGGCAGGAGCGTATCGCCAGATTGGAAAGAGAAGAATGGATGAAGTACTATGAGCAAGGTGATATTTTTATTCGTCGTGTATGGAGCTGCAGCAGCCATGGTCTGTCCGGCCTCCTGCTTCCTCATCTTTCACACCCCATATGCTGAAGTTTTGCGCATTGAAAGGAATCATTGCACATCTTACTGTGCGAAAGGCATGGGATGGGAAGGGAGCAGACGATGTAAGGCAGGATGGATGGCTCATTTCTGACATTGACGGTAGACTTGCTGCTGAGTCGCCTCTATGAGTGAGGATGTACGGCTGAGAGTGAGAGAATGTAAGGCTGGGTATATTATGAGGGAGCATGTCGGGCTGAGAGAGGTCTGAGTCAACTCTGAGTGAGGCTGAGTCAACTCTGAGTGAGGCTGAGTCAACTCTGAGTGAGGCTGGCAACTCTGAGTGAGGCTGAGTCAACTCTGAGTGAGGCTGAGTTACCAAAACTCTTGAGAGCGGCTGAGTAAACATTTTAAGTGAGTGTGAAGATGGAGAGGGAGAATGATCTGTGCTATTACTGTATGCTGTGGAATAAGGCAATTGCAGCTCAGCTGCTTTGTCAACCAGCAAATATCAGCCTCAAGAAAGAGCATGTGCCCGGTAGTTACTGCCATACATAATGGTGCAATCACGAGAGTACAGTACTAGCATGAAGATATACAAGACAAGACACAAAAAGAAGATATCAAAACTGAAGTGAGGTGAGGTGTGCACACCTTACCAGGTCAAAACTGAACCATCACACTTGCAGATCAAAACTGGGCTGGACTGGACAATTTCCCTCGGGTCAAAATTGGACCATAGCAGACACAGCACCACCACCCGTGCAGGTGGTGCCTCCTGCTACAGCTTATGCATGGTATGGCTTTAGCAGCAGCCTAGGCATGCTTCCGACCGGCTACAGCTTATGCTACAGCCAAATACGGCATCACAAGGTCCGTCTTTTTCTTCTTAGGAGGCGACTTTGGTTGCCCCCCCTCCTCCCCCTGACTCCTCTTCCCACCGCTCCCACCCCCCACCACCACTCCAGCCTGCTCCACACACGTTGTCACACGGTTACCAGCCTTCTGGTTACCACCTGCATCCTCGTTATAAGCAGCAGCATGCACGCCCAGAGCAGCACGGCCAGAGGGGTCCAGGTTTCCCAGCCAGGCAGCATCCCATGCTACAGCCGCCGCTGTGCTACAGGCAACACTGGGGCCCCCAGGCACAGTGAGACGAGCAGACAGCTGCAGCAGGGATTTTGTGGGGTGGAAAAAGGGGAAAGGGATTGAGTGGACATTTTTTTCGGCCAGAAGGGTCCAGGTTGCCTTGCCAGGCAGCATCCCACGCTACAGCCGCCGCTGTGCTACAGGCGACACTGGGGCCTCCGGGCACAGTGAGACGAGCAGAGAGCTGTAGTAGAGAAAGGGGGGAAGTGGGGAAGTGGCAGGAAGTCAAGACAGCGTCCCATGCTACAGCCGCCGCCGTTCTACAGGCGACACTGGGACCACCAGGAACAGTGAGACGGGCAGACAGCTGTGGCAGAGAGAGGGTGGGTTGGAAGCGGACGGGGTGAATAAGTGATCAGAGCTATTCCGCGAGGAAGCATCCCATGCTACAGCCGCTGCCATGAATAGATGAACAGGTATGAAGATGTGTGTGTTAAGACGTGAAATCCCTCAAAGAACAGGGCCTCCTTGGTCTTGGGCGTGTTGTGCGTGAAGAGGTTGGGAGCGGTTTGAAGAGGTGTGGGCCATTGGCACATACCTGGGAGAAGTGCTTTTCAAAGATGGTAGAAGAGCGCCTCCTTCGTCTTGGGCGTATTGTGAGTGAAGAGGAGTGGAGAGGAGTGGAGAGGAGTGGAGAGCCTCACCTGGGGGAAATGCTTCTCAAAGATGAGGCGGTAGAACAGCGCTTCTTTCGTCTTGGGCGTGTTGTGCGTGAAGAGGTTAGGAGCGTTGGCCATCATTTGATCCGATACCATCCTCTCTGCATGCGCCTTGAGACCATCGATCCAGCTGTACCCCACGCCATCGCTGAACTGCTCCTTCTGGCGGTACAGGATATGCTGGTAAAGGGGACAAGTGTGGGGGAGGCAGGGGCAGGAGGGAGGAGGGAAAGAGGGGAAGGGAAGAGAGTGAGGAGCAGAGATAGGAGAAGAGATGGGTAGCAGCACTACGAACAGAAGGGGATGGGAGCAGGAAAGGAGGTTTGGGTTATGTCAGGTAGGTAGGTACGGCACATGAGAGGTAGGTTTGGGTTACCTCGGGTAGGTACGGCACATGAGAGGTAGGTTTGGGTTACCTCGGGTAGGTACGGCACATGAGAGGTAGGATTTGATTACCGTGGGGAGGTACGGCCTCTCCTCATCATCGAAGGCTCGTCGAATGACCCGCTTCTCAATGCTGGTCAGGGGAGAGACTAGCGGAGTGATAAGAATGCGTTTTTTGTGATAAGAAAAGAATGAGGCTTTAATTTACCTTGGGAAGGTACGGCTTCTCCTCGTCGTCGAAGGCCCGCCGGATGACCCACTTCTCAATGCGGCCGTCCTCTTTGCGAATCATCTTATACTGAGGATCAATGCTCATTGCCACGTCAAGGAACTCCTTATCCAGGAAGGGAACGCGCGCCTCCAGCCCCCATGCTGACGTGGCCTTGTTGGCCCTCAGGCAATCGTACATGTGAAGTGCCTTGAGCTGGTTGGAGCGATGGGGTTGGGTTGAGAGCGGTGCAGGGGTGGGAAGTCTTTAGTTGGTGGTCAGGACAGGGGCAGACAAGAAACAAGCAGTGAAATGAATGGATTACGGCATAGGCACACCCACCCACCCACCCACACACCCAACCCTAACAACAAACTCACACACACTCACACAGACCCCACACATTCTCCCCCACCTTATGACACGTCTCCACGTGAAATTCCTCCTTGCTGGGCGCCTTGTGAAAGTACAGGTAACCCCCAAAAACCTCGTCGCTACCTTCCCCAGATAGCACCATCTTCACCCCCAGCGCCTTGATCTTGCGGCTCAGCAGAAACATGGGCGTGCTGGCGCGGATTGTTGTGACGTCGTAGGTTTCCGTGTGGTAAATCACTTCGGAAATCGCGTCTATGCCCTCTTGTACAGTGAAGTGTAGTTCGTGATGGTTTGTTCCGATGTAATCCGCGACTTCTTTCGCTGCCCGCAGGTCAGGGGCATTCTGAAAATGGGAAGAAGTGGAAGGATGGAAAATGATGTAGGACAAAAAGAATGAATACAAGGTGTAGAGTTGACGTAGCAACGATTGTTGAAAAAAAAAAGAAAAATAAAAAAATGGCCAATCATAAAAAATATCAGATGTCCTACCTCCAGACCGATGCAGTAGGAGTGAAGCTGAGGGCCCCACTGCTTCCCTGCTTCCGTAGACGCCAAATGGCGTTGCGCGACGGCGGCGACGAGCGAGGAGTCGAGGCCCCCCGATAGAAGCACGCCGAACGGCACGTCCGTCATGAGCCGCTTCACGACGGCCTTCTCGAACGCGGCGCGCAGCGCGAGCGGGTCGTACGGCGCGGAGGGGATGTGCTCGTCGTACCACGCGGGATTGTACCAGCGACGGAGGGTGTCTGGCGGTCAAGAACAGAAAAACAGGAAATTAGGAGCTGCAAAAGAAGAGAGTACAAAATGGTTATATAAACAGGAGGAAATTCAGGAAAGAAGCAAACAAACAAAAAAAACAGCTTGGAGGCAGAAGACTCACGGTCTTTGCTGGAGTAAATATGGCCGGGCGGGAACGTCTCGAAGCGCTCGCAGTCGTCTTTAAGAGCCTTCATTTCTGACGCGAACCACATAGAGCCGTCGCGACCCCAGCCGATGTAGAGCGGACACACGCCGATTGGGTCGCGCGCCGCGATGTACGAGCCGTCCTTTGTGTTGAGCAGCACGAACGCGAAGATTCCGTCCAGCTTCTGCACGGCTTGCTCTCCCGCGTCTTCATACTGGAAAAGGGTGGTGAAGAAATAATAGACATCGCAAATTGTTAGGAGCTAGTAGTGCTTGAGCAGAGCAGCAGAACGTTTCCGTCCAACGTCTTCAATATTACTGGGAAGGGAGCCTCATTTCTGCAGAATGTCAGCTTTTCGAAATCATTGCAAGAAATTATACGGATAGATATATTGAAGGAGGGGGTCCAAGTGGAAAAGTGTAATAACTCGGATTAACGGGCAAATGTATAAACGAGGAAACACGAAAAAAATACAATATTGCAAACGTGTATTAGGATTGAAGTAACAAATTATGAGCAGGTAAAATGCCAATCACTCATTCCATATTAAAAACGCACGAGATGCGCGATGACTTCGCAGTCGCTGCCGGTGTTGAACGTGTGGCGGTCCTTTAGCTCATCCCGCAGCTGCTGGTAGTTGTAGATCTCGCCGTTGACGGCCACCACGATGCTGCCGTCCTCGTTGCGTAACGGCTGGTGCCCGGACGCCGGGTCGATGACGGCTAGCCGTTCGTGCGCGAGGAAGTTATTGCCGAACGTGTGCACGCCGCTCCAATCGGGTCCACGGTGGCGCAGCCTGCCGGGTAAACGTGGCATGGGGCCATTTAAGGAACTCTTGAAATATTAGATGGCATTGCGATGTGCGATTGAGCGCACTGGCAAATTCTGGCGCGGAACGCACGTGTCTCCTGGAATTAAGACTCGGTGTGGCCTTGAATATGTGAGATCACAGCCGAAAACATAATGGACAATTACATGGTCGAAAGCACGGGAGGGAAGCGAACATCAGGCTTAATGCGGCATTCGGAGTCACTGATAGAATGACAAAGGTGGCGTCAATGTGGGCTTACCTAGCGGTGCACTCGAGGACCTTTGCTCGGGTGCGAGCCGAAGCATCAGCAGCTCCAAGAACCGCGAGAATTCCGCACATCTTGACGGTTGTCTGGACCGGATTGACGGTTATCGTCAAGTTCGCGGCAGGCTCCCGACGGAGCGAAGCTCGAGCGTTGCTGTCGCAGGAGGCGAGAGAAAACGGGGAGAGAGAGCGAGTAGGAACTTCCGTACACTGACGGAAGCAAATGCTTCGACAAGCACTCGCGGGAAGGAAGATATCAAACGGAAAACGCAGGAAGGTGAGGTACTTGTGAGGAACTGCTGAAGTAATTTATAGACTTCCAGACCCCGAAATTGCCACTCTTCGACATTCACATGTCCAGTCCAGACATTGCCAACTTTTACAATTCCTACACAGCGGGGCGAATTGCGACGGAGGAACAACAGTAATTCTTCCGTCGCTCATGTGGAGTGCATGCCAAATGTGCCTTCGATTGGATGTCAAGAGGTTTCTTGGTACGTCGTTAATTTCGTTAAAAGGTAACCAGAGCTCGCAGGATTGCCCTCTGCTAAGTTGTCTGGGGAATCTACAACAGTTTCTCCGGGGTTACTTTTCCTGCGATGTCGGTAAGAGTCTGCGGTGTCGCGGAGATTCGCACAGACATTTGAGTGTGGATGTGCGCGCTGGAATTTCGGGCCGCATTCATCTTTGTGGCGCGGTCCACGAAGGCAATTTCGGAGTGATTTTGCGATCACTCTTCACATCAAACTCCAGCTCAGCATCGCGCATCTCCACGCTGTTTGCAGCCCTAAGGTAAGCTCGTGATTGGCTAACCATCGTAATTACCGGAACAGTTTGGCATTCTTCCGCACATCAGCGCGCAATGCTCAGCTGCTGCCTCAGCTGCGCCTCGGCGCAGGAAATGGCTGAGGCAGCAGGTAACCAAGGCAGTGCCTGCCTGCCTGTATGGCCGAAAGCTTACCCTTCCGGCGCCGCCCTCAAAGTTATCCACAAGCCAGTTCACAGCACTGTACAGTACAGTGCGTGCGAAGTCTCCAGAAAACCACGTGGTTTTGTTAATTTCCACGAAGGATTCGCCACGTGATCGGATAAGCCAATTGTTATGGCTAGCCTCCAGTAAAGCTAGGAGGAAGTGCATACACCTATTCAGGTGTAGCATATAACAAGTGATACTACCTCAAATAATAAGTATATTCCACTGTATCCAGGGCTGACTTTTCGAATAAAACCACTCTGATTTTTTTGGCCCCCCAATTTTTTTTAGTCTGAGGCCCATTTTCCAAAAAGTGAATACTCTGATTTCTCAGGAACCAGAGAAGTATAACTCGGAAAATTTTATAATTCAGAGACTAAGGCAGGTTTTCCTACTAACGAACCTTTTGCACAAGTTCGGAGGGATGGGTTTTCCTCGAAGTAACAGGTATGGCGAAGGGGAGTTCGTACTCTGTAGTATGATAACTCATTATCCGGTAAGCAAGTTCTCTGAATTTTTCAGTATCGAAAAAACCATTAGTCTGAAGCACTCATTTTTCAAAACCAGCCAACTCTGAAAAATCAGGAATGTCAGGAAAATAGTCTGAAATTTCAGACAATCAGACTAAAATAGTCTGATATCGTCAGCCCTGACTGTATCCCACATTAATTCAAAATGCACTTGCACTTGTGGATAGATGGGGGTGTGATATATTTCAAATTGTTGTATAGACGGACACTAGCTTAAACATGAGCACCATGTTCATCCACCCAACAGCTAATTTACGAGCTAGATTTATCACTCAAATTGGCATTTTCACTCAGAATAACCTCAACTTGCGAAATGGCTTGAGTCAACGACTGATTCGGCACTGCAGGCTCCTCTTCGAACATCATCGTGCCATACTTGAACAGCTCCTCCTTAATCCCTTCAAGATCCGCCACTATCTTGACCATCCGGGGCCGGGACATGGCCGGAGTGGCCGTGCATGTCATGGCGAGCCGTGCGAGTCGAAGAATGACGTCATCGGGAGCATCTAGATGAGGGTCCTTGAATGCAGCTACCTCGCCACGTTCCACTAGTGGGGCAGCCTGTATGGAAGCGTGAAAAAACATCGCCATATTGAAAGAATTAAGGTTGGTAGGGAAGGAAGCTGGGGGGTCTGAACAGGTGATACCATGACGGGGTGATCAATAAAAAATGGAATGCAATGTCACATGAAGTAGCACATTTATTACTGGTAAACCCATTACCCATTTGCTGATGTTGATCGGGTCGTCATCTTTAGACACTGACACAATGGCCCTTCGTCCCGTCAGAAGCTCGAGCATCACGATGCCGAAACTGCCAAGAGGAAGCATGGAACACGGTGGGAGAACGAGAGCAAGGGTAGAGAGGATGGTGGGAGGTGGAGGGGCCGATACAGAGGAAGACGCAAATCCTGGTGGGCCCAGCAAATTACACTTAAATCAATTTATCGATGTCTTAGAACTCGAATTCACCTGAGTTGGTCCTCTCTGGGTCCCTGGACATAACCCACCTGAACATGTCGTTTGGGGGGGTGGCCTTGCGGGTGCGCCCATACGCAGGGTCCACATAGCCGGGAGTGCCGAGCACTCGAATCTTGGTGCTGATACGCGCCAGATGTTGGTTCATACATCGCATAACAGATTCCCGTGAACAGATACCCACCTGAACACGTCGTTTGCAGGGGTGGCCTTGCGTGTGCGCCCATACACAGGGTCAACATAGCCCGGCGTGATTAGTACGTTACACTTTCGGTAAGTAACCCCACACATCACAAATCGTTCGTTCCCACCTGAATACGTCCTTGGCAGGGGTGGCCTTGCGGGTGCGCCCATACACAGGGTCCACATAGCCGGGAGTGCCGAGCACTCTTTGCGTGCTCTGATGCTCCTCAAACAACAAGGCATACGCACATCACACATCACATCACACATCACATCACACATCACATCACACATCACACATCACATCACACATCACACATCACACATCACATCACACATCGTTCCCACCTGAATACGTCATTAGCAGGGGTGGCCTTGCGTGTACGGCCATACACAGGGTCAACATAGCCTGGCGTGCCGAGCACTCGAGTGGAGTCCTGAGGGTTGTACGCGTTGCCCTCTCCCATCTTGGTCAGCCCGAAGTCAGCAACCTTGGCCTGTGGAAGGGGAAGGGCAGGAGGGGAGAAACAGAAGAGATCATGCAAGTTAAGCTAGCATCATGAGACAGCACTCGAGTGGAGTCCTGGGGATTGTATGCATTGCCCTCTCCCATCTTGGTCAGCCCGAAGTCAGCTATCTTGGCCCGTGGGAGGGAAAGGAAAGGACAAGAGAAAGGTGGGGAGAAACAGACGAGAACATGCAAGATAAGCTAGAATCACGAGACAGAAGTTGAGTGGAGTATGCGGTCCTGAGGGTTGTATGCATTGCCCTCTCCCACCTTGGTCAGCCCAAAGTCAGCTATCTTGGCCTGTGGAAGAAGATTCAGGCGAATGGGGTTCGGTTGAGAGGAGAAAAACAGGCGAGAGAAAAGAAGACGAAGAAAAAAAAAAGACATGTCGGCGATTACGCGTGAGCAGTCGCTACTTCTTCTGATGGTTGTGATGTGTATTATTGTCCCCACCCACAGAGTTTAGATTAGATGAGGACTTGAGAGGAGTGTTGCACATGCACACACATGTTCCTGCCAGTTGCCATCTAACAGAATGTTGGCTGGTTTCACGTCCCGATGCACCATGGAGAAGCTGTGAAGGTACTCCAGGCCCCTCGCTGCTGAGTACCTCACACAACACATGCATACCTGCCAGTTGCCATATAACAGAAATGTTGGCCGGTTTCACGTCCCCATGAACCATGGAGAAGCTGTGAAGGTACTCCAGGCCTCTTAGTGCTAGGTGTGAACTCGCACCTAGCACAGCAGCATCGGCACAATGTACCAACACGCACCTGCCAGTTGCCATCCAGGAGAATATTTGCTGGCTTCACGTCCCGATGAACCATTGAGAAGCTACGAAGGTACTCCAGGCCCCTCAGTGTTAGGTGGTATAAAACAACAACATGTATGTACCAATTGACTCTCACACACATACCTGCCAGTTGCCATCCAGGAGAATGTTCGCTGGCTTCACATCTCGATGACCCATGGAGAAGCTGTGAAGGTACTCCAGGCCCCTCGCTGCTGGGTGTGATAGAACAACATGTATGTACCAATTGACTCTCACACACATACCTGCCAGTTGCCATCCAGCAGAATGTTGGCTGGTTTCACGTCCCGATGCACCATGGAGAAGCTGTGAAGGTACTCCAGGCCACTGGCTGCTGGTTGTGGTGCTGCTTGTGCTGATAGGTGCGATGCTGGGTGTGGTGTTGGTTGTTGAACGCACACACACATACCTGCCAGTTGCCGTCTAACAGAATGTTGGCTGGTTTCACGTCCCGATGCACCATGGAGAAGCTGTGAAGGTACTCCAGGCCCCTTGCTGCTCCAATCATCATCTCGAGCCTCTGCTGCAGGCTCACAGGCCGTGAGGCGAGGTCTGAAGGTGGGATACGGGAGGTGGGTAAACAAGGGCCGGAGGAATGACCCTGTGGGGCTGTGTAGGTACTCCAGGCCCCTCGCTGCTCCTACTTTGAGGCGCCTCAAAATGCGCCTCAAAGCACGCCTCAAAATGCGCCTCAAAGTACGCCTCAAAATACAGAGACACCAATATAAAGCTGTGTAGGTACTCCAGGCCCCTCGCTGCTCCGATCATCATCTCCAGCCGCTGCTGCAGGCTCACGGGCCGTGCGGCGAGGTCTGATCAGTAAGTTGGGGAGAGGTGGGGCGGGAGAGGGGAGGAAGGGGAGTCAGAGACATCAATGCTGAGCTATGAAGGAATCAGACCCCTCTCAGCACGCGCCCCAGGTCCCCATTCTCTGTGAACTCACAGTTGATGATCTCCTCCTGCTCGTGTGCTCCTATGTACTCACAGACCACTTCTGAGACAGCGTGCACACACAGACATGCATACACACGTATACTCACTTTTCAACACTCGTTCCAAGTCCCCATTCTCCATGAACTCATAGCTGATGATCTGCTCCTGCTCGTGTGCTCCTATCCTACGTACCGACCACTGCTAAGACGTGTCCAAACACACATACAAGGTGACTTTTGAGTCGACTCAAAAACACACATATAACCACATGCAGAGCGTCGCTCACTCTTCAACACACGCTCCAAATCGCCATTCTCCATGAACTCATAGATGATGATCTGCTCCTGCTCGTGCGTCTTGGCGTCCGTTGTAACGCAGTACCCCAGCAGACGGACGAGATGGGGATGATGCTTGCTCGCCATCAGCTCTACCTGTAAAGAGAAAAGGGAAAAGGGAAAAGGGAAAAGGGGGGTAGTTGGAGGGTAGTTGGGGGCAAGAGGTAAGGAGTGAGTCTTGGCGTCTGTTGTAACGCAGTACCCCAGCAAGCGGACGAGATGGGGGTGATGCTTGCTTGCCATCAGCTCTACCTGTGAAGGGGGACACAGATACACCGTGAGGGGCACATGGGGGCACATGGGACCGGATTCGAGACTCTAAACGGCACACGTGGCCTGCTCCTGCTCGTGCGTCTTGGCGTCCGTTGTGACGCAGTCCCCTAGCAGCCGCACCAGGTGCGGGTGACGCATTACACATGGTGACGCCAAGCCGCACCAGGTGCGGGTGACGCATTACACATGGTGACGCCAAGCCGCACCAGGTGCGGGTGACGCATTACACATGGTGACGCCAAGCCGCACCAGGTGCGGGTGACGCATTACACATGGTGACGCCAAGCCGCACCAGGTGCGGGTGATGCTTGCTCGCCATCAGCTCTACCTGTGCAGGTGGAGGGATGGGGGTGGGGAAAAGGGTTGATTTGGGGTCAGGGGGTAAGGAGTGCGTCTTGGCGTCCGTTGTGACGCAGTCCCCTAGCAGATGGACGAGATGGGGGTAATGCTTGCTCGCCATCAGCTCTACCTATTAAATGGATGAGAGGGGGGGAGAACAAAGGGGGAGCGGTAAGGATGCAAGAGACCAAGAAACACACGAGGCCTGACCATCCATTTCCTCCCCACCCACCCACTTTTTCTTTAGGCGCCTCAAAAGTCAACACACGTGGTCTGACCATCCCTTTCCTCCCCACCCACTGCAATCCCCACCCTGCCCCTCGTCCGTTCCTCTCCCTACGCCGCTCCGATTGCTGACTCACCTCCTTGTGGAAGTCGTTGGTGCGTATCTTGGCTCGCTTCACCGCCCACACCTGAGGCTCCCCGGCCTCCTAGGGTTAGTGTCTAACGTCTAGGCAGGTCTAGGCTTTAAGGTCTAGGACTTAGAGTCTAGCGAGCTCACCTCCTTCTGAAAGTCGTTGGTGCGTATCTTGGCTCGCTTCACCGCCCACACCTGTGGCTCCCCGGCCTCCTAGGGTTAGTGTCTAACGTCTAGGCAGGTCTAGGACTTAGAGTCTAGCGAGCTCACCTCCTTGTGGAAGTCGTTGGTGCGTATCTTGGCTCTCTTCACCGCCCACACCTGTGGCTCCCCGGCCTCCTAGGGTTAGTGTCTAACGTCTAGGCAGGTCTAGGACTTAGAGTCTAGCGAGCTCACCTCCTTGTGGAAGTCGTTGGTGCGTATCTTGGCTCTCTTCACCGCCCACACCTGTGGCTCCCCGGCCTCCTAGGGTTAGTGTCTAACGTCTAGGCAGGTCTAGGCTTTAAGGTCTAGGACTTAGAGTTTAGCGAGCTCACCTCCTTGTGAAAGTCGTTGGTTCGTATCTTGGCTCGCTTCACCGCCCACACCTGAGGCTCTCCCGCGTCCACTGTAATCCCCACCTCCCCCTCTCCACCCCCTCCTCTCTTACTCCCCCACACACTTCCCCTCCCACTTCCCCTCCCACTCCCTCTCACGTTCACACTCGCCCCTGTCACGCCTGCTTCACCACTATCTCCCCCCACTCCCCCCATTCCGCCCACTCCGCCCCCTCCGCCGCCCACTCTCGCACTGGGCGGCACACCCTTGTACACGTCCCCGTAGCCCCCGCTGCCCAGGTGGTTGTAGCTCGCCCAGTTGTTGGTCGCCTGTAGCACCTCTGGCAGGCTGTAGCGCCGGAACAGGCCTGGGACTGAGAAAGAGGGATGTGACAGGGGAAGGTGAAGGGATGGGTTCACTTGAACGAGGTGGTTGTAGCTCGCCCAGCTGTCCGTCGCCTGTAGCACCTCACTCAGGCTGTAGCACCGGAACAGGCCTGGGACTGGGGCAGATGGGGGGAGTAGGCAGCAGCAACAGCAGATTCAACAATGGCTCGCTCAGCTGTCCGTCGCCTGTAGCACCTCTGCCAGGCTGCAGCGCCGAAATAGTTTCGGGACTGGGGTGTACATGGGGGAGAGGGGGAGCATAGGCTTGACTCAAAAGTGGTTGTAGCTTACCCAGCTGTCTGTCGCCTGTAGCACCTCACTCAAGCTGTAGCGCCGGATAAGGCCTGGGACTGGGGTAGACATAGGGGAGAGGGGGAGCATACGCTTGACTCAGAAGAGGTTGTAGCTCGCCCAGCTGTCCGTCGCCTGTAACACATCATATATGGGAAGAAAGGGGGGTCCTAGGCTTGGTTGTGCCCTGTATCGGATCTGCCTGTAACGAGGAAGAGAGGAGGAGAGGTGGAAGAGGTCTGGTAAACTCACCGGCTGAGCTGGGCCCTGTAGTGGGTCTGCCTTTGACGAGGATGCAAATCAGGGCGAGACAAGCAATGACAAGCGCCCCTGCTCCGATCGCTACACCCACAATCACTCCGAGCGAGAGAGAAGAGGAGTCAGAGGAGGAGGAGGGGGAGGAGGAGGGAGGAGAGGGTGGAGAGGCAGAAGGGGGGGCTTTCGTGGGTGGGGAAGGAGAGGGGGAGGTTGCAGGGGAGGGGGATGGAGAGGAGGGAGGGGAAGGAGAGGTAGGAGGAGGGGAGGGGGAGGAGGGTGGGGAAGGGGAGATGGTCTTGGGGACACAGGTGGCACTGCCATCAGGGAGAGTGCCTGGGTAGGTGGTTGCTGGGCAGGTGCAGGTGTAACCCGTAGGGTTACCACTGCTGCTGCTGGCCTTGATACTGTTGCGTCTGGAGTTGATGCCAGTGCTGCTGCTGCTGCTGCTAGCAATGATACCATTGCTGCTGCTCCTGACACTTCGGCTGCTGCTGCTATTGATGGTGCCGCTGCTGCTGCTGCTGCCACTGCTGCTGTTGTTGGCATTTGAAACACAAGTGCCCAGGCCGCAGGGGTTGACAGGGAAGGTGCTGCAGACATCCGCTGGGGAATAGTGGGACAGACAGACAAGACAGGTGGAACAGAAACGCTTTTGAGAATTCTCAAAAGTGCTGCAGACATCAGCTGGGGAACAGTGGGACAGACAAACAAGACAGGTGGACCAGAAACAATGAAAACAAAGGTAAAGAGTCCAACACATTTTCCCCTGCAATACTATCTGCTCGCCTGTGTAGGAGGAGCAGAGCCTGCAGCAGCCAGGGCAGAGCTGGCAGAAGGCCGAGTGAGTGAGAGCCTGGACTGTCTGTCACGAGTAACCAACTGGACAACCAGTTTATGTGCTGTGCTGTGCTGTGCTGTGCTGTGCTGTGCTGTGCTGTGCTGTGCTGTGCTGTGCTGTGCTGTGCTGTGCTGTGCTGTGTTGTGCTGTGCTCTGCTCTGCTCTGCTCTGCTCTGCTGTGCTGTGCTGTGATGTGCTGTGCTGTGATGTGCTGTGCTGTGATGTGCTGTGCTGTGCTGTGATGTGATGTGCTGTGCTGTGATGTGCTGTGCTGTGCTGTGCTGTGCTGTGCTGTGATGTGCTTTGCTGTGATGTGCTGTGCTGTGCTGTGATGTGCTGTGATGTGCTGTGATGTGCTGTGATGTGCTGTGCTGTGCTGTGCTGTGATGTGCTGTGCTGTGCTGTGCTGTGATGTGCTGTGCTGTGCTGTGCTGTGCTGTGATGTGCTGTGCTGTGATGTGCTGTGCTGTGATGTGCTGTGATGTGCTGTGATGTGCTGTGCTGTGATGTGCTGTGCTGTGCTGTGCTGTGATGTGCTGTGCTGTGCTGTGATGTGCTGTGCTGTGCTGTGCTGTGCTGTGCTGTGATGTGCTGTGCTGTGATGTGCTGTGCTGTGATGTGCTGTGATGTGCTGTGCTGTGCTGTGCTGTGCTGTGCTGTGCTGTGCTGTGCTGTGCTGTGCTGTGCTGTGCTGTGCTGTGCTGTGCTGTGCTTTCAGCACACATGGGACTTACCCACATAGGAGCTGCACTCTTTGCAGAAGCCCGAGCAGAGCTGACAGAAGGCCGAGTGGGGGGTCTGCTCCACCCCGCATGGTTGGTTGGTGGGACACTCGAGCCATGTGCCATAGAGAGACCTGAGGAGAGGGGTAGAGAGGAGAGTGGCGGAGAGGAGAGGGTTGGAGAGGTGATGAGAACTGTTGCCCTATGTTACGCAAACATTTAAAAAAGAAAGCTTTTGAGTCGACTCAAAAGCAAACATTTAAAAAAGAAAGCTTTTGAGTCGACTCAAAAGCAAACATTTAAAAAAGAAACACATGTGCATTTGTTCTTTCTAGAAGTTAGGAATATGCTCTCACAAGGGTGTATTATCTTCTTATGCGTGCGGTTCTTATACAGGAGCTCACTTAGCCCCTTATAAGGGAACTCACATACGAGCACATAATGGAACTCACAAACGCTCTGATAAGGAAAGTCACATACGCGCATAGAAGGGAGCTCACATGTTTGCAAGGCTGCTCAATGCGCCAAAGGCAGGAGGGAGGGAGCCGTTGAGCGGATTCTTTGAAAAGTCCCTGGGAAAAGGGGGATAAGTGTAATGGGGGCGGGGATGGCGGTGAGAGGAGGGATGGCTATGGAAGCAAAAAATGCTTGTGAGAGTTTTGAAGCGAGTTAAGGATGAGGGGAGAATGGTTGGAGGACTGGAAACAGGAGTTGTTGAAAGAGTTGGATCTAATGAGTTGATTCTAAGGTCACTGCGAAATGAGTCTACGCGAAAAGAGTCGTGTCGACTTCAACTTCACCTCGCAATATTCTCACTCACAGAACGGTAGCTCGAGTGAGGTTCGCAAGAGATGATGGCACAGAGCCAGTGAGATGGTTGGCGCTTAGGTTACTGAGAGTGAGGATGGGTGGAGGGAATGGAGGGAGAGGATGGGGAATGGGATGGGTGGGGGGAGCGGATGGTGGGTGGAGATGGGGGAGGAGGTGAGCAAAGGATGAAGGCACAATGCCAGTGAGATGGTTGGCGCTTCGGTTACTGAGAGTGAGGATGGGTGGAGGGAATGGGGAAGAAGGATGGGGGATGGGATGGGGGTAGGGGATGGGGGGTGGAGATGGGGGAGGAGGTTAGCAGGGGATGGCGGAACAGTTCTGGTGAGATGGTTGGCGCTTAGGTTACAGTGCGAGGGAATGGGTACAATGGAGGGTGGAGGGGATCGGGTGCGGGGATGGGAAAGGGGGAGGGGACGGGGGGGTTGGAACTTGGAGGTTGAGGCGAGATTAGCAAGGGATGGCGGGCGGGTCGGAAAGGAAATGGACACGCAATTTACAAAGCAAAGCACTTGAGGCGCTTCAGGGGCTGCACAGAAAGGAACAACGGCGACCTGATTAGGAGAGCTAGGGGAGTCGTTGATATATTTTGAGACGACTCTATTATTTTCGGGTAAGTAATCGGAGGACGTACAATTTGGTGACGAGGGCGAGATTGCCAAGAGCTGCTGGTATGGTTCCGTTGAAGCTGTTGTCATCGAGCTCACTGGGGGGGATTGGTGGGCGTGGTGGATGAGGAATTGTGGGGGAGTGCGGGGAATGGGGATTGGGAAGTGGCAATTGAGAGTAGGAATGAGCTGCTAGTATGGTTCCGTTGAAGCTGTTGTCATCGAGCTCACTGGGGGGGATTGGTGGGCGTGGGGGATGGGGAATTGTGGGGGAGTGCGGGGAATGGGGATTGGGAAGAGGCAATTGAGAGTAGGAATGAGCTGCTAGTATGGTTCCGTTGAAGCTGTTGTCATCGAGCTCACTGGGGGGGATTGGTGGGCGTGGTGGATGGGGAATTGTGGGGGAGTGCGGGGAATGGGGATTGGGAAGTGGCAATTGAGAGTAGGAATGAGCTGCTAGTATGGTTCCGTTGAAGCTGTTGTCATCGAGCTCACTGGGGGGGATTGGTGGGCGTGAGGGATGGGGAATTGTGGGGGAGTGCGGGGAATGGGGATTGGGAAGTGGCAATTGAGAGTAGGAATGAGCTGCTGGTATGGTTCCGTTGAAGCTGTTGTCATCGAGCTCACTGGGGGGGATTGGTGGGCGTGGGGGATGGGGAATTGTGGGGGAGTGCGGGGAATGGGGATTGGGAAGTGGCAATTGAGAGTAGGAATGAGCTGCTGGTATGGTTCCGTTGAAGCTGTTGTCATCGAGCTCACTGGGGGGGATTGGTGGGCGTGGGGGATGGGGAATTGTGGGGGAGTGTGGGGAATGGGGATTGGGAAGTGGCAATTGAGAGTAGGAATGAGCTGCTGGTATGGTTCCGTTGAAGCTGTTGTCATCGAGCTCACTGGGGGGAATTGGTGGGCGTGGGGGATGGGGAATTGTGGGGGAGTGCGGGGAATGGGGATTGGGAAGTGGCAATTGAGAGTAGGAATGAGCTGCTAGTATGGTTCCGTTGAAGCTGTTGTCATCGAGCTCACTGGGGGGGATTGGTGGGCGTGGGGGATGGGGGATTGTGGGGGAGTGCGGGGAATGGGGATTGGGAAGTGGCAATTGAGAGTAGGAATGAGCTGCTAGTATGGTTCCGTTGAAGCTGTTGTCATCGAGCTCACTGGGGGGGATTGGTGGGCGTGGTGGATGGGGAATTGTGGGGGAGTGCGGGGAATGGGGATTGGGAAGTGGCAATTGAGAGTAGGAATGAGCTGCTAGTATGGTTCCGTTGAAGCTGTTGTCATCGAGCTCACTGGGGGGGATTGGTGGGCGTGGGGGATGGGGGATTGTGGGGGAGTGCGGGGAATGGGGATTGGGAAGTGGCAATTGAGAGTAGGAATGAGCTGCTAGTATGGTTCCGTTGAAGCTGTTGTCATCGAGCTCACTGGGGGGGATTGGTGGGCGTGGGGGATGGGGGATTGTGGGGGAGTGCGGGGAATGGGGATTGGGAAGTGGCAATTGAGAGTAGGAATGAGCTGCTGGTATGGTTCCGTTGAAGCTGTTGTCATCGAGCTCACTGGGGGGGATTGGTGGGCGTGGGGGATGGGGAATTGTGGGGGAGTGCGGGGAATGGGGATTGGGAAGTGGCAATTGAGAGTAGGAATGAGCTGCTGGTATGGTTCCGTTGAAGCTGTTGTCATCGAGCTCACTGGGGGGAATTGGTGGGCGTGGGGGATGGGGAATTGTGGGGGAGTGCGGGGAATGGGGATTGGGAAGTGGCAATTGAGAGTAGGAATGAGCTGCTGGTATGGTTCCGTTGAAGCTGTTGTCATCGAGCTCCCTGGAGGGATTGGGAGGCATGGTGGGGAGTGGGTGGTGGTAGGGGTATAGTGGATGGGGTATGGTGGATGGGGTATGGGGATTACGTGTGGGGAATGGAGAATTCAGAATGGAATGTGGTTTGTCCGGTGTGGGGAATGGAAGGAGGAAAAATTGTTTATGGTAGTACGAGGGCGGTCGGTCGGTCACAGAAGAATGGGGCAATGGACGAATGGATGGTATGCGGAATGGGGAACGGTGTGAGTGAGGCAACGAAAACGGGGATAGGAGAAAGGGACGGTGTACAGTGATTGTGTGGCAGATGGTAACTGTGGAAGGGGCATAAGAGAAATGGGAATGAGAACGGGAGGTGCATGTTCCCCACACTACTCACAGTCGTACGAGGGCAGTCAATCGACCGAGAGTGGATGGTATGGGGATCAGGGAGTGGTGTGGGGGAAACTGGAGATTAAATCAGCACTGTTGGAAGCCTGGAGGGTATACTCACAGTCGTACGAGGGCAGTCAATCGACCGAGAGTGGATGGGATGCGGCCTGACAGACGGTTCCTGTGCACCCCACTGGAGGAAAGGTTGTGGGGGGGATGCAAGGAGAAAGTGGAGAGTGGAGAGCAAAGAAGCAGGGTGGGTGAATACACAAAATGACTGGTGAATCTCTCTTGGCTTATTTGGCCGAGAGTGGATGGGATGCGGCCCACGGGAGCCACAAATGGTGGGGCCGGGACAATGAGAGTGGAGAGTGGAGGACAAAGAAACATGGATGGCAAAGAGACGAAATGTTGAATCGATTTCTTTCAGCTCAATTGAGGGGGAATGGATGGTATGGGGCCCGACGGACAGACGGTTCTGTGCAATTCACTGAGGGGACAGGGGGGACAGCTTTGCCCTTACACACGCAGATTCACAATGCTTACAAGTTGCTCAGCTTGGTCAGGTCGCCGATTCCTTCCGGCAGCGAGCCATGCAGGCCTGTTAGACCCAAATGGCTGCAAGGGAAAGGAAGCAACCGGCAGATAGGACGGCACGGGAGGAAAGGGGAGGGAAACGGGAAGAGGAGAGTGGGAAGTCAAGAGTGGAGTAACCCTAAACATCTCATCCTGAAGCAAAGGGCAGAAGCACCAACAGAACCTAGTTTTGAGTCGACTCAAAACTAGGCTCATCACACACGGATTTTGAGTCGACTAAAAAAAGAGAGTGGGAAGTCAAGAGTGGAGTAACCCTAAACATCTCACCCTGAAGCAAAGGGCAGAAGCACCAACAGAAACGGAGGTCCTGGATTTCACAAACCCATGCTTACAAGAGTTCCAGGTTGGTGAGTTTACGTGAAAACAGGAGTGTTTTGAGACGTCTCAAAACACTCCTGTTTTCACGAGACGTCTCAAAACGGTCCTGGATTTCACAAACCCATGCTTACAAGAGTTCCAGGTTGGTGAGTTGGGTGACGGACTCTGGGAAGGGCCCATCCATATCCGCCCCTTGCAGCTCCCTGGGATCAATGGGGGGCGGGGAATGCGGAGAGGAACGGGGGGACGAGCAGGTACAAATGAGTGGGTGGGCGGTTGAGTGACGGACTCTGGGAAGGGCCCATCCATATCCGCCCCTTGCAGCTCCCTTTAGGGGGGAAAAAGGAGAGAAGGGTGGGAAAGGGGGGGTGAGGTGAGCAGGTAGGTACAAAGTATTGGGCTGGGCGGGTGGTTGGGTGATGGGCAGTGGACTCTGGAAAGGGTCCGTATAAGTCCACCCCTTGCAGCTCACTGGAGGGGGGAGGGGTGAGAGGGGGAGAGAGGGGGAAAAGGGAGAACAAGGGGGGGGGAGAACAAGGGGGAGGAGAGCAACGGGGCACGGAGTACCAGGTGGGAGTAGAAGTAGATCCCAGTTTCCAAGCTCCCCCTTCCCACCCTCACCCACCCCTCTCCACCCCTCCCCACCCCTCTCCCGCCCTCTCCTCTCCTCTCCACCCCTCCCCCCTTTCCTCCACCCCTCCCAACCCCCCTTTATCCCTGCAAACCTCATGCTTACAGGAAAGTCAGCGCCTTCAGGTTGCCTATATCACCAGGAATAGACCCGTTGAGGTGCCAGTTGCCTATCTTGCCCATCCATCCCACTCCACCCCTCTTCATCCCTCCCCACCCCTCCCCGCTTCTGCAGCACCACTCTTCATCCCTGCAAACCCCCTGCTTACAGGAAAGTGAGCGCCTTCAGGTTGCCTATATCACCAGGAATAGACCCGTTGAGATGCCAGTTGCCTATCTTGCTGAGCACGAAGAGAGGGAGAGATGGGTCATGGAGGTATGGAGGGATGGAAGATGAGTGATGGGAGGCGTGGCTTTCCTTGTACTCACAAAGGAAAACAAAGTTGGGTAGTAGAGTGAGTGAGCGTGAAGGGTGTAGGGACGGAGCAGGTCTGTGAGACGACCTTGTGTGAAGTAGAGGCAAAGGCTTCCCTTGTACTCACAGCAGGACAAGGTTGGTTGGTGAGTAGAGTGAGCGTGTCGGGTGTAGGGACGGAGCAGGTCTGTGAGACGACCTTGTGTGAAGTAGAGGCAAAGGATTCACTTGTGCTCACAGCAGGACGAGGTTGGTGAGTATGCTTTTTGAGAATTCTCAAAAAACATACGAGGTTGGTGAGTAAAGTGAGCGTGTCAGGGATCGGCCCTTCAAAGGTGATGATGAGAGGTGGCAAGTGGACGGATATGAGATGAATGATGGGAGATGAGTGATAAGGTGTGATTTCCCCTAGACTCACAGCAACACGACGTTGGTGAGTAGAGTGAGCGTGTCAGGAATGTTTTTGAGACATCTCAAAAACAACCTCGCTACACGTGGGAGATGAGTGATACGTAGGGCGCGGTTTCCTTACCCCTAGACGTACAGTACAGCAGCACGAGGTTGGTGAGTAGAGATGGAGGGATGGAGGGCGCGTGTCGGGTGTAGGGATGGAGGAGGTCGGTGACCTAGTGTGAACTAAAGACAGGACTTCACTTGTACTCACAGCAGCACGAGGTTGGTGAGTAGAGTGAGCGTGTCGGGGATGGGACCTTCAAAGGCATTAGAAAACACGTCTCTGCAGGGATGGGAGGCATGTACGTGGATGGGTGGGTGGATGGATGGATGGATGGATGGATGGATGGATGGATGGATGGATGGATGGATGGATGGATGGATGGATGGATGGATGGATGGATGGATGGATGGATGGATGGATGGATGGATGGATGGATGGATGGATGGATGAGCTGTTGCGAGGGCACGGACACATGCGTTATGTGAGCATGGTAGAAGCGACATGCGCATGCGTTTGTGCATGTGCATGTGCATGTGCATGTGCATGCCGATGTGCGTTTATGCCAACCAAAAAATCTGTTCCCCATTCCTCTCGCCCACATTCCACTGTCAGCCTCGGCACTCACAGAAAAGAAAGGGCGGATAGCGAGCCAAGGTACTCAGGAATGGTACCGGAGAACTTGTTATAGGGTATGGAGCTGGGAACGGGGGTGGAAAGGGGTGACGAGGGGTGGGATGAGATGAGGAGAGATGGGTGCTCATTGCGGCTAGTATCAAAAGCAAGGTAGTCAGGATGGTAGCGGAGAACTTGTTATAGGGTATGGAGCTGGGAACAGGGGGACATGCAAGTGGTGGGGTGGGGTGGGGTGGGGTGGGGGAAAGAGAGATGGGTGGAGATTGGGGATAAGGCGTTGGGATGAGGTGCAGTGCGGTAGACAGAGCACATGCAAGGGGTGACTAGGGGTGGAATTTGTGTCGCTCAGGCCAAAGATAAGAAGGAGAAGTGGACTAACAGGTATTGCAGTGCTGAGAGAAAGTGCAGTGCGGTAGAGGGAGCAGAGCACATGCAAGAGGGGGGGGGTGACTGTTTTGCATCGCGCCAAAGATGAGAAGGAGAAGTGGACTGACAGGTATTGCAGTGCTGAGAGCGACTGGAGTGCAGAAGGGAGCGGACCGAAAAGGGGTCACTTTTAGGTTGAAATGAAAAGGGAATGATCTCCGATGGTGGGGGGAAGAGGTGGTACTGGAGGGCCAGCAATGAACTGACAGGTATTGCAGCGCCGAGAGATAGTGGAGTGCAGAAGAAAGAGGAGAGAACAATGCAAGGGGGGGAAACATGGAACGACTTTTGAGTCGCGCCAAAGATAAGGAGGAGAAGTGGACTGACAGATATTGCAGCGCTGAGAGAGACTGCAGTGCAGAAGGGAGAGGACCCGCCAGGGTGGTGTTGCGGATGGTGCTGGGGAGGGCAGGGAGAGATGGTAAGGGCAAGAGGAAGGGAGGTAGAGGAGGGGAGGGAGAGATGGGTAGGGCAAGAGGAAGGGAGGTAGAGGAGGGGAGAGAGAGATGGGAAGGGCGAGGGGAAAAAAGGAGGGGAGCGGGCCACAGAGGGAAGTGAGAGAGACTGCAGTGCACAAGGGAGAGGACCCACCAGGGTGGTGTTGCGGATGGTGCTGGGGAGGGGAAGGAGGGGTGGGAGGGAGGGATGGGAGGGAGGTATGGGAGGGAGGGATGGGAGGGCAGCAGGGCAAGGGGGGAGTAAGGTGCTTGGCAAGGCCAAGAAAAGGCCACAATGGGCAGTGTTGCGGATTAGGGTGAGGGGAGGGAGTACGAAAAAGTGGGGTGACAGGAGGGAAGGGAGGGGCGGGAGGGAGGGATGGGAGGGAGGGATGAGAGGGGGGATGGAAGGGAGGGATAGGAGGGCAGCAGGGCAAGGGGGGGAAGTAAGTGCTTGACAAGGCCAAGACAAGGTCACAAAGGGCGGTGTTGCGAATTGGGGTGAGGATTGGGGGAGGGAGAAGACCCTTACAGTGCTGTGAGGGAGGAGAGGGCACTGAAGGCGTCTGGAAGAGACCCGGTGATGGGCGTGTCAATGATAGTCCTGGGGTGTGAAGAAGAGGGAGAAAGATGGTTGGTTGGGGGGCGGGGAAAGAGGGGGGGGGAGGAAATCGGGTTTGAGGGAGGAGAGCGGGTTGATGGCATTTCAACGGAACCTGCTGATGGGCGTGTCAGTGATGGCCCTGGGGTGGATAGAAGAGGAGGGTGAGGAGGAGAGGGTAGAGAGGGCGCTGAAGGCGTCTGGAAGAGACCAGCTGATGGGCGTGTCAGTGATGGCCCTGGCCCCTGGGGAGACGGAGGATACACTGGAGGTTGAATGATCGCCCTGTTTACATGATTGGATTTGTTTTCACGACATTGCAGGTTGCTGACTATCCATTCATATGTACTTCGCACATCCTAATAGTGTAGCCTAGTGTAGTACAGTACAGTGCAGAGATGTGCATCACGTGGTTCACGCTAATAACGAGTCAAAAGTACATCAGCCTCACATGCTTGTAACGAAGCCATCCGTTGTGCATGAGAGCCACGTGGCGTTTCTACAGTCCCATCCAGCGGTTCCTCCCCCAGGGGACTCAACGCCCCACTCCAGCAAGATCTGCTCCAATGCAAGCGCTGCGGGACGGAGTAGGAGGAGAGGGAAACATAGGCTGAATTGTTTTCAACGTGACCTTCGGTAAACTTCGAAACCCTACCCTAGTGGACTCAACAGCACAGCACCCCAGCAGCATCTGCTCCAATGCAAGTGCTGCAGGAGGAGGAGGAGAGAGAAACATCAAACGAATGTTTTTTAAGGTAGATTTCAATCAACTCAGAAACCCTTAGGGACTCAATTCAACTACACCCCACCCCACTCTACAAGAATATTTGATCCCGTTCTGTGAAATGGGGGATGCAAACGAAACATATTCTTTTCTTTAGGTGCGTATTGCAGGATTCGGTCCTGCCTTTTTCAAGGTGCTGCTTTTTTCAAGGGACAAGGTTATTATAGTTTTGGTTCAATGCATCTGGTTCGGTACAGAAAATCGTTTCTAGGATCCTCAATACTCATTGCGCTCGTTATTACAGCGTGGCGCGCGTACCCTGTGAGTTATCCAACGGTTGCGCGTTTGCCGCCGTCAAGTGCGGCGGGCCAAACCAGCCTGCCATCTGGAGAAGCAGCGCGAGAAACAGAATCACCGCCGGGCGAAGCCGTTTCTCGAGATTGCCGCGGGAAATTACGCGATTGGAATTGGTACTCGTCGAGCTCCCCATTATTGGTGAAGACGATGTCGCGATTCCGCGTCGGACCGCGCTGGTTAGATGGTCAAGCAGACGGTCAACGAGACGGTCAACGCCGAAATATGTTTCTTCACGGTGGACGTGTTTGTGCAGCTTTTGTGTCGGTCTCAGATGGTCCCGCCTTTTCCAAAATATTTCTTAATTTCTACTCCGCGAAGACAGAATCTTGCATTTAGTTATTCAGAGCGCCTGCCGTCAGGTATATAATCGAGAAATTATTGTGCTTGTTCACGCATAAAGGACTGATGCGACACCAAGAATAGCTTTGGAGTTTATTGCGAATGTTAGGAGTCACGTTCATTGGTACGTGGGCGACGCGTCTGAACTTCATGCCATGGTTGGAAGGGGAAGTCAGGGAGGAATATACTACTAATGCTGCAGCTAGGGGTGGCTGAGAACAAAAAGTACAGCGCAAGCCGATGTTGAACGTCAGAGCTGCTATTTCTCTGAAAAATATGCGTCCGCTCCGCGCCAGTCTTGCGCCAAACAAGGCATGGCGTCGCCATTGCTAGCATTGCTGGAATCAGCCTTCGCAAAGCTGGCAAAGGGGACATGGTGTGACTCTAACGGAAGTGACACAGTAAAAGAAATAAAGCTTTCTGAAGGCTGATGTAGAGACTTCTCTGAAGGTGAGCTGGAGGCGAGCTGGAGGGGAAGCGGACGGGAGGTGGTGAGGAGGATAAGAGAGCCAATGACAATCCCGAGGCTTCTGATGTCGCGGATTAGTAGGTAGTGGTCGCCTGGAGTCTTCGAGGTCATTATCAGAGCTTACAGCGTGTATGGTTGGGCCTGGATACGATGCCGTTTTCAAGTTTGTGGTTAAAACAGAAATTTGGTACTTCCATACTTCAACAAAACATCCAAAATGGGTTTCGGAAACTAAACAGATGTAGGTGCGTTTATTATATATAAAGCTAATCCAATACGATATGCATTTAAGAAAGACTGTATATGCAATGTGTAATATTTTGTTGTTCGTGTGCTAGTACGTTCTGCGGATTGAGCAAAAGCGACATTCTGTTCGTTCATGAACAGATGACAGAGCAATCTCCGATCAGGTGGTGCCGCGATGCCAGTTGAGACCAGCCACAAATTGCTATCACCACAACAACAGAGGGATTGGCATGAAAGTGGTTGGTGTGGTCGCCACAATGACGTTGAAGGGACGGTGCCGATGACAAGCTAGACACTGGGCGGTGTGGATTCGCGTAATTGACCTGCCCCACCCTGACTTCCTGAGACAGCTGTCTACGTGGCACTTTCTGCATGGAATTGGACGCACCGCCCCTGCTGGGCTCATGGAGGCGGAAGAACCGTGGTTGAACGAAGTTCATGGCAGTGAGAATTGGGTTTTGAGTTGAGCACGCACTGTTACTGATCATATTTGCTCCCCACGTAGCTACAAGGCTTCTGGCGCACAGTTACTGCCCAGTTTTCGCTCACAACGCAGAATTAGCTCCTTTCAACGCAGTTTTGCTTTTATTGGTCGTAGGATTGACGGGCCGATAACTCTTCTTTGGTTGGCGGCCACAGAACCGTCAAACGAAAGCATTCCGGGCACAAAACAAATAAAACCCTATCGGGTGGCATGTTTTTCGAGGGAGACATCAACCCTAAACACCGGGAGACAAGGTGTTTAGGATTGATGCCCTTCCCAACGAGTATATTTTTTTCGATGGCTTGTCTCGATAGAGCATCAACCCTAAACACCATTAGGAAGGTGTTTAGGGTCGATACCATTTTACAGGGGTATATATAATGTTTAGCACTAGAAACAGAAAAAAGTAGTTACTGTTTTCTGTGACAGTTTCCACAGGTTCGGTTTGTAGTTATGTGCCATGTGTGGACCAATGAAATCAAAAATGCGTTGAAAGGAGCTAAATCTGCGTTGTGAGCGAAAATAGAGCAGTAACAGTGCGCCAGAAGCGCTGTAGTTGCACTGGGAGCGAAGAAAGTTCAGTAACAGTGCGTGCTCAACTCAAAACCCGTGAGAATTTCGCTCTGCGTTCGCCCCGTCCGGCTGGTTTGGAATCTGCGAGATGCGCGTGATGCGAAGCGCATATTCTCATCTTTTCGCGGAAGTACACATGCTTAGCGAAGACACACACACAGCCCCGCCACGCCACTAGGCAAGAACATGCACGCGAAATCGGGTGGAGCTGTGTATTGATCGAGAATCGACCTGCGAAACTCGAGGCTTGATCCAAGGGCTAAAAAAGAGCCACGATTTTCTTGCGACGTTGTTAACCATACCGCTACCGCGTGGTTTGTATGCATCCGAACCACCTAGCCCCTGTTTTGACGGAACCCCAGCCTCGATCTCCGTCACTTGTTTTGATCACGGCCTTTAAACGAATCATCGTTTGCCACCTAATCTCATGTCGAGCGCTCACCCCAGGTTCCATCGTCCCGTCATCCACTTCCCACCTTCCTCCTCCCAGCCGCACAACGACCAGCACCCGCATCTTTGGTTTCTCCCCGACATCCCCGACCGCTTTCCCTGCACCACCTCCGCAAACCGACCTGCTTTCCCCTTTCTGCTTCCGCCGCCCGAGGTCAGTGTGCGACTCTGCGCCCTCGCTCCCGCCCACTCCCCTCCCTCGCTGCGCCATCCGCCATACCTGAACCGCCAGCCACTAGTGTCGATGTGCCCGCGCCACTCCACTCCAATCCCTATTCTGCACTAGCTGCGCTGTCTACTAATTACCAATCCAGCTTCGAAAGTAGCATCTGCTTTGGTTGACGAGGCTTTGCAAGTCCGCTAATTGTTCCGCTTCTGGGAGACCGTTACGTTCAAGCTTCCTTGCGTCGCCAGTCAATCTCCTGGTTCACTCAACTCACACTGGTCAACGGTGACTCAGCCCGCTCACCTGTTTTGCAGCTGTTGGAGTGAGACTCCAGCCTCAAGTGCTTGTGCTGAGCTGATTCCAGTCACCAGGTGGAGCTGAACGCTCTGATCTGTTCAGTCACATTCCGATTCTGTGGCTGGTGCACTCGCTTCAGTCATAATCCTTCCCTTTTACTCGAGTAACCAGACATCGCTCGCGTGGCCGCGATTCTCGTCGCTGTGATTCGCACTCCTTGTAATCCCCACGCGATCGCACTGGCCAGTCCCTCGGGGTCTGGTCCGTGCCAACACATTGGCCACCACGGCGTTTACGGCGGGTAACGCGGGAAACCGATACGCACACACGTTCCAGCTGGAGACCGCGGGAAAGCTGTGCCTGGGTGCCGTTTCCGCGCACGGTGGTAGGGGAGCTCTTCCGTCTGAGGGGGGAAGTCCCTCGGACCTCCTTTTCCTTGCAGGAGGAGGTAGCGTCACTCCCGTGTTCGTCGCAGACTGAACCGCGGCTGTAGTTAATAATTTTGCTCGAGTCGCTGTTTAGCCTGCTTAGGGTGCCCTGAGGTACAATTTAGAAAGGGAACCTGTTAAGAACCCGGATTTTCTGCCGGAATAGAGGGTCAGACGCTTTTTGAAGAAGCTTAAGTTTCTCGGAGAATCTCCGACGCTCTTTCTTCGTCACGATGTTGACGATTAAGAAGGTTCCGACAGTGGTCTCTCTGAACCAGGAGGAGGACCAGCCCGCGGGTTGCGGTCGCCGCTGTCTGAATACCTGCTGCACTATTGGTACGTTCCACCTCCCGGTCCCACCTCCCGATCCCACCTCCCGATCCCGCCTTTCGATCCCACCTTCAGACCCACGTTCAAACCACCCCCTGCTGTCTTTTGAGTACGGTTTGCTGGTTCAATCACACACTCGGTTTCCGGACCACTTTGGACCACGCGTGTGACTCCTATACTTTGAACTCATTCTCAATTTGCTAACCCTATAATGCCACCTCAACATTCTTGCATCCTTCCTTCTATATCGTCAACTTCAGGTGCCCGCATGCCTCTGTACGCTTACGCGAAGCGTCCCTGCACCAAGCCGGAGCGCATTCAGTCCTTTACGGAGCTGGACGGAGTTCCAGGCTTCCAGCCCGGGTTTCTCGGGAACACCACGAGCTTCGCGTCGTACGACGACCTGCTGTCGATCCGCGAGTCGCTGTCGTCGTCCGACGAGGACTCGCTGTCGTCAGGCGGCGCGAGCGACATTCACGACGACGACGCATTCTCGCTGCGCAAGCACATCACCTCCGAGGTACGGCGCTCATCGTACTTGGTTATCACTAATGCAAAGTTTAATTTCTTTGTTATTTTTAGTTAGCTGGTTGCTGGATGGGAATTTTGCGCACTATGCGAGTGTTCTGTTCTGACCCAACTCTGTTTTTCCGCCCCCCCTCCCCCCCTTCCCCTCTATCCCCGTCCCTGTTCTTCTGTTTTTCCACCCCTCGCCCCGTTCTTTCCCCTTCCCTTATATTCTGCCGTTTCCAGTGGGAGAAGAAGTTTCAGGAGGGGCTGTTCCGCTATGACGTGACAGCTTGCGAGTCAAAGGTACGTCTTATAAGGTAAGCAGATCAGATAATCTTATCTAAATATGCACACTGTGGTGTGGTGGGAAACATGAAATGAAAGTGCAAGGGCCGTTTGTTAGCAAGGGCTATTTATCACTCGCAGCACAGTATTGAAAATGCGGTTATTTCTCGTACATTGTGTAGGTTATCAAAGGTCGCCTGGGCTTCATCACGCAGCTGAACGAGGGGCGGCACTCCAAGAAGCGTCCCACAGAGTTTCGCGTGGACAAGGTGCTGCAGGCGTTTGACGCTTCCCTAATTCCCCCTTCTCCTCCCCTTTCCTGTCCCGTTTTGTGCATGTTGCAGGTGATCGAAGGTCGCCTGGGCTTCATTGCGCAGCTGAACGAGGGGAGGCACTCCAAGAAGCGTCCCACAGAGTTCCGCGTGGACAAGGTGCTGCAGGCATTTGACGCTGGCAAGTTCAATTTCACCAAGGTCGGGCAGAACGAGATGCTCTTCCGCTTTGAGGAAGGCAAGGACGAGGAGAGCCGCTTCTATGAGGCAGCTGTTGTGGAGGAGAGCCCCAGCCTCATGGTCATCAATGTAAGCTCAGCTTGCACTATAACCCATGCACAATTCTTTTCAGGGTTTCTTCTCCCGGATTGTAAGGTTTGTTGAGTTCAGATCCATGGGTCCCGAGTAGGTAGCCTCTCAGTTGAAGTTATGGACTTTTTACCAGTGACTTGCTCCTTTGTGCTCTCTCTTGCTTCCCCCATTGACTATGGCAATGTGCTTCTGGTTACACTTGCGCTTCACAAAACCCCCCAGCCTCCTCATATCTCGGTAGAGTTGATTATCCTAACCTTTGCTCACTCCATTTTGCTCTTTTCTCTTCTCCCACCCTCAGGTTTCTCCCATTGACTATGGCCACGTGCTGCTGGTTCCGCGTGTGCTCGACAAGATCTCGCAGCGCATGGACGAATCCAGCCTCCTCATGGCTCTCCGCCTAGCCTCGGAAGTCAACGACCCTGCCTTCAGGATTGGGTACAACAGCCTCGGCGCCTTTGCAACAATCAACCACCTGCACTTCCAGGCCTACTTTCTCGACCTACCCTTTGCTATCGAGCGCGCATCTTTGAAGGAGATCGCGGTCTCGACGAATGAGGTTAAGGTTGGGGAGCTTGTGGACTATCCGGTGAAAACGCTGGTGTTCCAGGCGGGTGCGTGCCTCGAGCAGATGGCATCGGCTGCTGCAGCTGCATGCTGCAAGCTCCAGGAAGGGAATATTCCCTTCAACTTGTTTATTGTGGACAGGGGCACTCGGCTGTTCCTCATTCCACAGGTACATTCCTCGATTTCTCCTCCTTGGTCTATGTGCTGTTTTCAATCATTGCCTCCTGTGCCTTGCTCCAACCTGAAATGGTGTCACTTTGTCAAGGTTTTGGGCTTAGGTGTTTCTTTTAGATCTTTCACTGGTTGTTTAAACCTGACTTGATCCCTCTGTTGATTCCTCTTCTCCCTTCCCTATTGCAGAGGTACGCTGAGAGGCAGGCAAGGGGTGAGATTAGCCAAGAGCTTCTTGACACGCAGGTGAACCCTGCAGTGTTTGAAATTTCTGGTCATATTGTGTGCAAGCGCCGGGAGGATTACGATAATGCCTCTGAGGAATGGACCTGGAAGCTTCTGGAAGCAACGTCCCTCACTGAGGAGGGGTTTGAAGTCGTCAGGAAGATTTCTGTGGAAGCGCTGGCAGCGACTGCTGCTGAGTTTGCTGAGATTGGGATGGGTGGTATGGTTGGGAAGGGAAAGGTGGAGTTTGTGAGTGAGGCTGGTGCTTGGGTTGATTTTGCGGCTAAGAAATGTGGTGTGGTTCAGCAAGCTCTTCAGCTTGCGTAGGCTGTGTTGCTTACTTTCATGTACAATGACATCCTGTTTACCTTATTTGTTTTGATTTATAACTTCACAGCTTGTGTGCACTGGTATTGTACCGATGCCCATGAACAAAGCGGGGTTCTCTCAGCTGGGAAATCATTAGCGGAGAAGCTTCTTTAGAAGTTACCTAAACTCCTGATTTGGCGCGTTATCAGAACATTTCGAATATCCCTCCAATCCTCTTGGGCCACGTAGACTGAGCATTGCAAAATGACCAATCAACAACCGCCTGTCTACATGCTCTGTTTCTTCAGCAACGTAGATTTGATACTTCAGTACTTGGTTGGGACCGTGCCACTTTGCATAGGACATATTTTGAACCGCGAAGTACTGTTCTCAACTCCAGGGGACATCAGAAATGTTCTCAACCCGAGATGCCCCAAACTCCAGATGAGATGTCTAGGCCAGGAATGCGATCTGAGCCTTCGAGGGAACCTGAAAAATGAGATTCAACCAGACACCTTTCAGCTGTTGGTAATTCCGTCCGTTGTCAGCCTGGATTTGTTGTGATTTTTGTCCTTCAGTTGTGCATTCAAGTCCAGAATCTGGATCTTGTTCATTACGAAAGATAACGTAGTAGGTGGTTCATGCCTGTGTGCGTGCGAGCTTTCCATTGTGCTTCCGTTCTCTTGGGTAGCAGGCACATCAATCCAGGTCTTGCTCTAGTTAACTCTGGATTCACCAGTTACTTTGCAAGGAGACTCAGTCAGCCTCATCGATTAAGTATCGCCGCATTGTTGGGTAGCAGGTTCTGTGCCAGAAGGACGCCTGCCGTACGTATCGTTTCAACCGGTGTCAGGCCCTTACAGTCCGTACGGTATAGAATGGCGGTGTGTCAGGACCCCGTACATATGCAAGTCGATGTCGATTTCCGTCCTGCTGACGTCATTGAGATCGCAGAAGCGGCGGGACGCGCTATCCTGGAAGTTTACAACAGCCACAAAGAGTGAGTGGGGTAGCAATAGTTGCTGGTCTGCCGGATTTGCGGAACCACTGAATGGAAACGAGCGAGAAACAGCAGAGGCGCGAAGCAGAACGGGAAGGGCAGGCGACAAGGCCGTGAACGGCGAGCTATTCAAATAACAATTGTTGACGGGGAGCAGAAGTAGATAAGTAGAAGGAGATGTAGCGTCGCTGCATCCCTTCATTATCGCCTTTCCCCATCTTCCAGCAGACCAACTTGCGACCCTTCCCATGTTTCTCATCATCCATCCCCTCCCCCCCCGTGCTTCCCCTGATCGTTGTGATCCTCTGCTTGTGTATACCAGCGACTGGGGAGTGAGCGTGAAGTCGGACCACTCTCCGCTGACTGACGCTGACTCGAAGGCCAACGCGTTAATATGCAGCGAGCTAGCGCGGATCACGCCGCACGTGCCGATCGTCAGCGAAGAGACCAAGCTGGTGCCGTATTCTGTCAGGAAGGAGTACCAGCTGTGGTGGTGTGTGGATCCGTTAGACGGCACGAAAGAATTCATCAAGCGGAATGGACAGGTGAGCTAGTAACGCGGACAAAGACCGAGCTGGTGTTCTATCCTGTGAGGAAGGAGTACCCGCTGTAGTGGTGCGTCGAGTCGTTAAATGGCACGAAAGGATTTATTACGAGTAAAGGGGATATGTTGATATGGATTCAGTTCAGGAGGCAAATGTGGATTCAGACTGAACTGATTGAATGGTGATTGTTTGAGCAATGGGATGGTGTGCATTTCAGAACCAACATTCTTCGTCCCTATCACACCTCCTACATGTGCAACGTAACTCAACCTTCTCTTTTCTTTTTTTGTTGAAACATGAAACCGGTGATTATTGCCCTAGTCACATAGAGCCACTCGATCAGAGAGCAATTCTCTCTGCATCAGCCGAAGTGTGCTCCAGCAGTGCTGCACTTCCAGTATGAATGAACAAGACCTTCCAGCAGACCCTTGGAATACCACTGATCTGTCTTCCAGGTCCTGAATTCCGAGCCTCTGGTCACATTTCTGATTTCTCGTTCCCCATTTTCCCCTCCTTATCCCTTCCGTTTCCCCCTCCTTTTCCATTTTCCCTCCCTCTTTCCCAATGTGCAACGCAGTTCACAGTGAACATTGCTCTGGTGAAAGGCGATCGTCCCATTCTAGGAGTGGTCCACACGCCCTGCCTTAAGAAGACGCACTGGGCCGTTGCTGGTAAAGGAGCTTTCCTGCGGGACCATTCCAGCCAATCAGATTCATCGTCTCTGCCCGAGGATAAGCCGATCCGGGCAGCTGAATATACAGATGCTGACCCGGGGCTGGTGATCATGGGGTCGCTGTCTCACAGCACGCCCGAGACAGAGAAATTTATTGGGCAGTTTAAGGACCCGAAAGTGGAGGCTATGGGCAGCTCGTTGAAATTTATGAGGGTTGCAGAGGGGTCAGCTCATGTGTACCCAAGACTGGCTCCCACTTCAGAATGGGACACCTGTGCTTCTCAGGTACCACTCTCCCTTCTCCTCCCCACATCTCCTCAATTGATGCTTCCTGTATTTGTTTTTACTGTTAGTGAGGTTGGGAGCAGTGTCTTGCTATGAGTGTCTCTCCCTGAGTATCAGTTCAGTGATGTTTACCCTTCACCTTACCTATGTTTTTTCCTCTATTCATTTTGACCACCTCAGATCATAGTGGAAGAGGCTGGAGGAAAGGTGTTGCAATGGCCTTCAAAGGAGCCTGTAGTGTACAGAAAGGAGAACATTCTGAACCCTCACTTCGTAGTTTTTGGTGCTCGAAAAGAGGCTCAGTAAGGATGCGGTCGTACGAAGGTCGGCGTCTTAAGGGTCTATCATGGTTGGAAAGAGTGTTGATACCTTTGTTGCATCACTTTGAGTTCAAGTACACTTGCGCATTCAAAATGCTTGGGGGAGTTTTCAACTCTACTAGCCTACCATCCTGCAGCTTTAGACAATACGGCTTCACATGAATCAGTCAAGTACAAGTACCGGTTTTGAAACTGGTCTATCTAGGGTATATCTTAACAGAAGCGTCTAAAAAAGAATGTGTTGATATGAGAACGCGTTTAGAGATATAGCCTGACAATTAATACCGGTACACATCAAATGATCTTGACCATGGACTCGCACCCGCTGTGTAAGGAATTACAATTCCTTACTGTACTCGCACTTTAGCAATTACAACCCGAGGGCCACGCGTCAGATGGTTCGGCCTACATTTCCGCACCCAAACCACGCCCGAGTCGCCCCCGCACCAATTGCGACTTTTCCCGAGCCATCTCTGCCCGACCTCTTCGCCTAGCTAGGATTCCCGTTATAGATCCCCGTCACTTTCATTGTATCTTCATCCAGTAATTCTCATTCTCGTTATTAGTTACTCAGCAAGTTCATTCATAACACGCTGACTCCGTTGGAGAGCATCCGTTTGCTTATCCGATGGTGAATCCTTCATGGAAATTAGCTCAACCACGTGGTTCTGTGGAGACTTTTTGCTTGTGATTGTGGATAATCCCTAGAGCGACACTGGTAGGGTTCTGTGCTTTCTTTGGGAAAATATGCCACAAGTAACTATCATGTGACCCGATAACGTCAATGGTACCGTAAAAAAAAAAAAGCGTACGGTAACTGTATCGAGTATCATGACGGGCTTGGTAAGTGAACACGGAATCAGTCACTAAGGGCGTGTTACATTTTTTAAATCTGGCTAGAGTCCGGACAACCGTCCGAGAACGGTTCAGATTCCGAATCTCGGGCAGTACGAGTCCAACGTCCGGACTAAACCTCGTCCGACGTTGTAGATGAAACATTTTCAACCTGACGAAAATTCGAATGTTTGCGAGGTTGTAACCACGATTACGAACAGATTACGATAAAGGTAACAACAAAGCGACTTGAAGACTTGAATCGTTGACCAATGAATTTGCGTTACTGTTACGTCCGTCCACTAATCGAACTGTATTCGTCCGGTCGATTTGGGAAGGCAATACGCGCAAAATGTTCCATCACCGGTCCGATCGTTAACGACCTCGCAAGTGGTCTAGCGAGGCAATTCACGAAACACAACGAGGAGGGTAACCACACAAAAGTCCGGACCACTGCCTGTCCGGACGGGCTGAAGTAAAAAATGTAACACGCCCTAACAACAGCTCAAGAATCACGCGAATGGTAACACATGAAACGCCTGCCAGGAATTCCTGAAACCAGGCCGATTTCCCGCTCGCGCCAAATCGTGCGGAGAGGTTTGATGCACGCCTGTACCGTCGAGCCTCCAGCCCACCGTAACCACACCACGATCCGACGTGCTGTACACCCCCCTGCTCGCTACGGTTCCAACCAAGTACAGAAGCTTGACCCCAGCAGATCTCTCCAACTCACTTCCCGCCGTCAGCTATTACTCACGCTATTACTAGTAGCTATAGCTTTCGCCAGCTGGCTTCCCCGTCACGCATCCAAGGCGTTCGTTAGCAGCACCTGACGTCTATCAACGGTGCGTGCATTAGCCCAAAATCCTTTTCCGATCCGTTCACGTTTAGTCCCTTGTTGCTCGAAAAATACTAATAATATACATAATAAAAAATCGATCAGACCGCCATCGCCATGCGCCCAGCGGCTGGCGCGCCGCTCCGCGCATCGCGCCTATCCGGCCTGATCGTCGCGAGATGCATCGCGACGATCAGGAGCAGCCGCCGCCACGATGCGCATTGCGGCCAGCTTCGGGCCGCAAAGCGCATCGCGCCGACCGGGCCGCCGCAGCCGCGATGCGCATTGTGGCCTGCTTTTGGCCCCTCCGCGCATCGCGCCGACCAGGCCGCCGCCGTCGCGATGCGCAATGCGGCCACCCTGCTGGGCGCATCACGACCATCCGCCACTGTGATGCGCCAAGCCGCCAGCCCGCCGCTCAGCGCGTCACGCCTCTCTGGCCACCGCCGAGGCCAGGGTGCCCATGCACTCTCTCATACGCTCTCATTCCCTCACCCACTCTTATACGCTCTCATTCCCTTTC